ACAGAGAAACCTCGTCTCGAAAAAACAAACAAGCAAACACAAAACAAGGACACCGGGAAGGAAGTGAGTCTGCAGCACAGAGTAGTAAAAAGAAAGTCGCTTCACGGGGCTTTGTGATGGGAAGATTACAGAGGTATGCGACTTTTCCAGAATGTCACGTTCCAGGAGAGGGGTCAGACAGCTAGGAATGACCAGGAAGGGACAGGAAAGGAAAGGGCCTGTCCAAACAGACTTGACAGTAATGGACCTGTCTGGGTTTGGATGGAATGCCCCCCACCTCACGAAATTATGGTAAGAAGGGGAATAACCTACCCTTGCGTGGCTCTAAAAAAAAGATACAATCTAGTGACAGTGTTACCCTGGATTTGATAAAAGTCATGACTGGGGAGCAATGACGTGTCAGTTGGTAGCAGCTATCAATCCCAACAGTGCACTTATTCCGGGAGTCTGGGGTTTAGGACCTAGGCAGGACAGAACAGTGGGGACTGGTGCCTTTCTTAGCACAGCCTGACTTCCAGTGTCCTACCCCTTCTCCTCCCAGAGCAGGGGTAAGGCAGTGGCCACGGGGGCATGTTCTTGCCCAGTGGCCCATTTGGCTACATTTAAAGCAGGCCTGAGAGGGTAGGGTCTTACTCCCAAGTTATCCTGTGATAAAGCTTGGAGTAAGGCTGCCGCCAGCATTCGATACTTCGCCTGATCTTGTTTAAGGTTTTAAATTTGAAGATTCTTCTGCCCCTTGCTGAAGACCTTAAAGGCCACTTTTATAAGGACCCTTTGAGGGGTAGAGAGCTGTCCTCTAGTGTTTGTTTTGTTTTGTTTTTTCGAGACAGGGTTTCTCTGTATAACTGCCCCATCTGTCCTGGAACTCACTCTGTAGACCAGGCTGGCCTTGAATTCACAGAGCTCCACCTGCCTCTGCCTCCCAAGTACTATACTAGAATTAAAGATGTGCACCACCAAGCCCAGCCATGTCCTCTAGTCTTTAAAGCTATTTTTTACTACCAGGTGCCAACTGAAAGCTGGAATGAAGCTGTTGATGTAATTTCCCCATTATTATCCAAGGTCAGGTTGGTATATTTAGTTTCTGATAAGCGTTAGGTCCAAAGCTGGCCCTCTAGAGCCTTCTGTTGATTAGGAGACTCCCTTAAATTATCAGGAACCTCCCTTAGTCCAACTCAAAGGTCAATACCTTGGGCAGGGTCACTAGCTCCTGGTCAGTCTGTATCAACTCAAAGACCACACCCTGCTGAAGCTCCTATAAAATCTGCTTGCTTTTACCATTTTGCTCTTCTCTCTGCCTCCTGGGAAATAGCCTTGACACTTTGATTCCCAATAAACCTTTCTTTCTATTCATGGAGAGGTCTAGTTCACAGTTGCACTGAACCCTTGAGTACGATAATCAAGAAAATGATAAGGCTGGATTTTCATAGACTCCCTAAACAATTTCTTTGGTTTTGTCAAAACTGACCACTTTCTTTTTTTTTCTTTCTTTCTTTTTCTTTCTTTTTTTTTTTTTTTAATGTGGGGGTAAAGGGAGGGGCAGTAAAGGTTAAAGGCTGAGGCTAGCCCTGGGGAGGATGGTATCCTCAGGCTGAAGAGAGGGGAGGAGCAGTGGCAGGTGAGAGGGGGTTATTATTAGACAGAGGCGGTGACAGAAGAAGAGTTTCTAGGTTACTGTAGGCCTTTTACGGCCTTTGAATCTTCTTACAGTTGTAGGAATTGTAGAGAACAGCAATGCAACCCATACGTGAGGGTAACCACCCCTCCCGCAATAGTGAAAAAGTAAGTTTTGCCTCAAGTAACAAATTTATTTCAATATTTCCAATCTATGGATTTGTCTGATCCTTGAAATTTTTTTCCCCCAGAGACAGGGTTTCTCTGTGTAGCCTTGGCTGTCCTGGACTCACTCTGTAGATCAGGTTAGCCTCCAACTCACAGAGATCCACCTGCTTCTGCCTCCAAAGTGCTGGGATTAAAGGCATGTGCCACCATGCCACACAATATTTTATCATTTTTATGAGTGTTTAGCCCCGAATGTACACCTGCATGCCAAAGAGGGCACCAGATCACATTACAGATGGTTGTGAGCCACCATGTGGTTGCTGGGAATTGAACTCAGGACCTCTGGAAGAACAGTGAGTGCTCCTAACTACTGAGCCATCTCTCCAGCCCAAGAATTTTTTGAAGACATATTAATTCCTTTATTTAATTAAAAAATTTGAAGAATGAACCCTCTAACAATTGTTTACTACATGTGTACAAGGATCATGATTTTACTATCCCTATGTTTTGAGATGTAGCCCTGTGGTAGAAAACCATATTTGTAGTAAATGTGAGGTTCTGGGTTCAATTCTGAACACCAAAATAAAGTAAAATAATGAAACTTCATAAAAAAGAAAGGGCACAATGGTACATGCCTGTAAGCCCAGCACTCAGGGAGGCAGAGGCAGGCAAATCTCTGTGAGTTCAAGGTCAGCCTGGTCTAGAAAGTGAGTCCAGGACAGCCAAGGTTACAGAGCTTGAGAACTCTGTCTCAACTCCCCCCCCCCAACAAAAAGTTTGTGGGGCTACAGGGGAGGATAGCTGGTTAAGGGACAGAAGGACTTTAGAAAGCAAATGGCTCATTCAATCTCCGGGTTCTGGGTAATAAGCAAGACCCTGGGACCACTTCTGATTCTGCCATTTCCTGGCTCACAGTCTTCGGCAAGTGACATAACCCCCCCTCAAGCTCCGAGACAGGGTTTCTCTGCACAGCACAGGCTGTTCTGGAATTCACTCTGTAGACCAGGTTGGCTGTGAACTCAGAGAACCATCTGATTCTGCAAACTGTCCCCCCCTCCCCCGTCCCCTCCCATCCTGGGTGAGCCACCAACATCCCACTGTGACGCACTCTTTGTGAACATTAACTTCCGCCTCAAAAAATTTCTGCAAGGATGGTATTTGGATCAAAAACATGTAGCTTTTGTTGAGTTGTTTTGGGGTTACAAATACCTAAACAGATGTAGCATTAACACCCATGTATAAGTCGGGTCTATGGTGGCGCACACCTTTGATCTCAGCCCTCAGGAGACAGAGGTAGGAGGATCTGAGTTCTAGGCCAGCCTGGTTTACAGAGTGTGTTCCAGGTCAGCCAAGGTTACACAGAGAAACCCTCTGTAACCTCAAAAAAAAAAAAAAAAAAACAAAAAACAAAACAAAACCAAAAAACAAACAAACAAAAAAAAAACAAAAAAACCAAAAAACAAAACAACAACAACAAAAAAAAAAACGGGGCTGAAGAAATGGTTCAGTGGTTAAGAACATTGATTAGGATTCAATTCCCAGCACCCACATGGCAGCTCACAACTGTTTGTAACCCTAGTTCCAGGGGATCTGACACCCTCACACGGACATACACGCAGGCAAAACACCAATGTACATGAAAAAATAATATATATATATTTTTATATTAAAAATAAACCCAACCAAACAAACAAAAAAAACCCTCACCTATGCTTACTAAGCAGATGGAGATCCAGGATGCTGGGTAATGTGGTAAGGCCTGTTTATGTGTTAATCCCACTGGGATTCTCACAACAATTTATAACAGCACCTATTTTGTAGTGAGCAAACTAGAAATCAAAGACTGTGTTACGCAATGCTGCCGAGGGTCAAAGCCAGGCTTCTTGGCTCAATGCGCTAATGCATTATGGCTAGGCTGGTTTAGAACGAAAAGTTAACGATCAGGAAGTAGAATATGACGACACTTGTGTATAAACGTTGCAAAGGAGTATACACCTTAAATATTTGCTCCTGTTCATAAATTCTCTCAAAGGATGCTGATATTGAGAAGTGGAAGATAATTGCAAGGTACTGATTAGGTTGAAATGGTGCTTTCAGAAATTTGAAGCATGCAAATTTTATTAGAAATTCATTCAGAGATATTGGTTGATTGATTGATCGATCGATCGATTGATTTGACAGGGTCTCACGAGGTAGCTCTGGCTGGCCTGGAACTGGCTACATAGACCAGGCTGTCATGGAACTCACAGAGATCACCCACCTCTGCCTCTTGCGTGGTGGGATCAAAGGTATGCACCACTATGCCCGGAGAACCAGAGATAAATTCTTAAAAAAAACCAAAAACATCAAAGAATAATGTTTGGCTGGGTTTTCTCAGTTTGACCTAAATTAGTTTTATCTGGAGGAGGAACGCCAGTTGAGAAAATGTCTTCATTAGATTGCCTGTAGGCAAATCTGCAGGGGATTTTCTTGATTAATGATTGATGTATGTGGGCGGGGCCAGCCTCACGGGGGCCGTGGTTCTGGGGGATGAAATAAGCAGGCTGAGCAAGGCATGGGGGGCCAGCCAATAACCAGTGTCCCTTAACGGCTTCTCCGCTTCAATACCTGCCTCCAGGTTCCTCTGAGTTCCTGCCCTGACTAAAGGGTGATAAGCCAAGTTGGGGAGCCTTTCCTCCCCAAGTTGCTTTTGGTCATGGCGCTTTAGCGCAATAGGAACACCAACTAAGACAAATTAAAAATTAAAATAAGAACCACAGGGGAATCACTTGAACGCACAGAACTCCTTCACTTTATAACGCCGGCAGTCGCGTTCCGTTTAGGGGGTGGGGTGGGGACAGGTGTTGCTCCCGGGCTGGGAGCACCAAGGGTGCCAGGCACGTGCGTTGTCCTCAACTGTCGGGTTCAGCAAGAGCGCAGCACTTAGCACGCTGTAAAACATGCAGTCCAACTAGACCTGTTTGCCTTCGAGCGAAAACCTGGACCTAGGGGCTTCTGCGTGGATCATGCGGGAGCCCGGCCTCCCTAACGACCACACCAAAGAGGCACCGCCGACTAGCACAGCGCACGCGCAGCCTGGACCCCGGCGCCAAGAGAGGAGGCGTGACAGCCGGCGCCTGCGCAGAGGCGGGCCGGGGAGGCGACGGGCACTGCGCGTGCGCGGGGAGCAGCGGGGGCGGGGCTCGGCCGGCCGGGGCTGGGTAAGGGGCGGGAGCCGCAAGGGAGACAGGGCGGGCCGAGGGAGCGGCGCCGTGGGTTGGCTGCTGCCCCGAGGCCGGACTCAACGGACCCGGGCCGCGCCGCCGGGCCAGCTCGCCGCCCGGCCCCAGCCCGGAGCCAGCGAGTGAGCGAGGCGGTGCCGCGCGGTAAGAGCCGGGGCAGGGTCCTCTCCGCTGGCGCCGCGGGGACGCTCGTCTCCCCAGCGCCGCCCGCGCGGCCAGGCCCGGGCGGCCCCGGGGACCCTGGCGGCCCCGCGCCTGCGCTGTCCCCCCTCTCTGCTCCCCCCCCCAGCTCTCCCGCGCCTGCGCCGTCTCCTTCCCGGGAGGACCTCGCAGCCTGCCCCGCCGACCCCCCCCTCCCCGGAACCCTCTCGCTCGGCTGGTGGGCTGGCCAGCTAGCTGGGGTTCTCACCCCGGGGGAGAGGCCGGGTGCGACCCTCGGGATTGGATTCCCTGTGGTGTCGGGAGGGACGGGGCATTCCCCGTGGCCCCTCGCCCTGGGCTGGGGCAGGTTGCCTCCCCGACTGGTGGTTTGAGGGTGGGGAGCAGGGGCGGGGAGCAGAGAGACCCCTGAAGGCTAGGTCCTGTGTCAGGACTGGCTGATTGGAGCTGCTTGCGTTCTTTATTCTTGAGACTTGGCTCGTTGTATCAGGTGTGATGTGGCTAGTGCGGTGTGCTGTTGAAGAAGTGCTGCATTTCCAGCAGTGGCTGCATTTGTGTGTGTGTGTGTGTGTGTGTGTGTGCGTGTTGTGTGCGTACGCGTGCCATTTCTGGGTGGGCTTAGCCACGTACAGACCACAAACGAAAATTGCCGTGATCGTCCAAATGCAGGCAAGCTTGATTTGTTCATTCTCTTGAAGGGTCTCTTCTAAACTGCCGAAGGGAGGGGGGGCACGACCACTCGAGTAAAGGGAAAAAATTGACTTCGTCGTGAAAGAGAATTGTAAGCTTTGGCCCACACCTGTAATCCCGGGCCTCGGGAGGCGGAGGCAGGGTTGGGCTGCGGAGAGTGAGACCGGTCTCAAGAACAAATAAACAAAACCAAAACCAAATCACGGAGCCCACCGAGGCTTGCTGTCGCTCGGGAGGGTAAATCTTGAGGTGAAATCAGCTGAGGATTGTAGGCAGAAGCTGTTCTTTCTAAAGGTTTGGAGTGAGGACCTGCGTTGTTGGATAGACAATAAAGGCACTGCTGTTTCATTGGTCCTCTTTCAATACATCAGGAATGGAAAAAGTTTGAAAAACAATGTCTGGGTTGAATTCGGTACAGACTTTTTTTCTTGTCCTTTCTTTGTACTGGGATAATATACGCTATTGATGATTGAAGTATACTTGAGGATTACGTTGCTTCTGAGTAACTTCACTCCTTCGTTTTTGGGATTCAGGGCATGGAATATGGCTAGATGAATGTCTTATAGCTAAGCTGTATCCACCCTCGGCCCCGTTAGCCTCTTACCTTCCATTTAGAGATGGAAGTCAGGCTGAGAATCCCGAACTAGCTATATCCCTCACTTTGTTGCCACACAGGCCCGGAACTTTCAGTCTTGTTTCAGCCTCTGGAGTAGCTGGAATTAATTACAGGCCTGCACCACCCCACTAGCCCAGCTTCACCATTTCTGTCAGGGACTTGAGTGTCCCCAGATTTTAGTTATCTTAAGAGAGCCTCCAATATCCTGTGCAACCGGGGCGATTGTAATTTTTTTTCTTAATTAAAAAAATATAAAAGTAATACACGTATGTTGCAGAATATTCAAACCAAAAGACAAGGGTATGATATGGAGAAAAAAAGAGTGTTGGTCTCGTCACCATGTTTTCCTATTGAGAAAGAGCTGATGCTGCCGTCCCCGTTTCCCCCACTAAAAATGTTTGTTTTCCCTTTGGATCTAGTGTACAGCAAATTGTGTTCTAACCCTCAGCAATTAAAATTTTAGATAGCTTGAGAATGGTTTGTATGCTTGTCTGTATCCTGGGGATGTAGATGTGGACATTTTCAGTAAGAAAGTGATTGTTGTACCATTGGAAAGCTGTCTGAAGGTGTCTCTTGGCATCAGTCAAAACATTACTGTCAGATGCTGAGTGGAGTGTAATTATGGTTAAGGTGAAATTTGCTCAGGGTGTATACCTACATTTGAGTTCTCGACAACTTGTGACTTCTGAAGCAGAGGTTTGACTTTGCTCATTTGATCAGATGACTTAGGTATCGCAGAGGGTCAAAATTCCTATCAGGGTTGGGCTTTCTTAACTTACAAGATTTGCTAGGTAACCATATGCATATTTAAATTACATGACTGACTTGCACAAAGCATTATGCAAACGTAATTCTTGATGGAGGAGTGGTGACAGTGTCTAGAGATTTGGGTGATTCTTTTTTCTTTTTGGCTTATGGATTTGGACAAGTAAACTTTCCTTTCTGGATCTTCATTTTTTCCATTCTGTGTGCATGTATACAAAGGAGTGTCAGGAGCAATTTTAATATTAAAGAATCCTGGTACAGTTTTCAGCCAGTGATGACGCTGTAGTTTTCCTTCTCAGAAATTTGGGTGATGAGCCAGGTTGTGTAGTATGTCTGAGATGAATGAATCTGAGATACTCTGGGGTGAAAGCGTATTGTGTAGGCCTTTATGTCCTAAGAAAAACAAGGGCAGTGTTAGGAGTGTTAATGACACTGAATTTATTCAATTTAAAGGACCTTCATTTCTAAAAAACAAAAACCACCCTAGTTTCTTCATGATAAAATTAAGCAGTTATAAGCTGGAGAGTTGTCTCAGCAACCAAGAGCATTTGTTGCTCTTACGAAGGAGCTGGGTTTGATTTCCAGTGCCCACATGTCATGTCTTAAAACTTTGTAACTGCAGATACGAGGGACCCAGCCCCTTCCATGGGCACCAAGCATTTGTGTAGTACACATACATGTCTTAAAAAGTTTTAAAGTTCAGCATCTAGTTGGACATGGTTTGACAAGCTTGTGGTTTCAGTCGTAGTGGAGGCTGAGAATGATTTCTTAAGTCTAGTAGTTTGAGGCCATTCTGAGCACTGTGCACACATATGCAGGCAGAATGTTGTATAAATAACAATAAAATAAATCTTAAAAAAAAAAGGAAGAAAGAACCTAAAGTCTTATTTGGCTAATAAAAATTTCTGGGCTGTTGCTTTTAAGAAGATTCAAGTACAGCTGCCTGGTGTGGTGGCCTGTCTGGCTTGGCGGCACACGCCTTTGATCCCAACACTAGGAAGGCCAAGATAGGTGGGGTTCCAGGACAGCCAAGACTGCACAGGGAGACAAACAAACAAAACCAAACAAAATTTAAATTCGTTTTGTTTGGTTTTTATTTGTTTGCTTGCTTGTTTTTGAGACCGGATCTTCTGTATGAGGGCGTCCTTGAACCCACTGTGTAGGCAGTGATGGCCTCAAACTTGTGATTCTTCTGCTTCCAACTGCCAAATGCTGGCCGGAATGATAAGTGTGGCACCGTGTCCAGGTTTATGCAGTACCGGGAATTGAATGAAGGGATCTGTGTATATGACTTTGTGGTGATTTACCACAAGTAACAGAAAAAGCCGTTACATTTGATATTAAGCATTTCCTGTTTTACTTATCCTTGAAATGCATGAACATGAGGTGGAGTTTGGCTCCCCAGAATTCACACGAAGTTCCCGTGGTGGCCATGCCTGCAGTTGCTGCGCTGCTGTGGAGGATGCCTGGAAGCTGGCTGGCCAGCCAGCTGTTGCATGCTGCAGCCAACAGGAGACCCTGCCTCAAGATGGAAGGTGGGGCCTGGCACCAGGTGTTCTGGCCTCCACGTGTGCTGGTGTGGCATGTGACGTCTGCACTCAAGAATGCACACACATGCACACACTGTACCCGCACGCAAAGATCCGTATGTGCATTTCTTACATGATGTAAAGTGTCAGGGGTCTTTTCTCCAGTTCATGTGCATGTGTGTGTACGCATCTGTTTATTGTGTCATGTGCACAAAGTGCCCACTAGTAGAGGTTAACAAGTCCCGAGAATTGTGTGCATGTGCCAACAAGAAGAATCTGAAGGAGATGCCTTTTGGTTGGAATTGTTAGTGCTGAATAGACTAGCAGCAGAGTTTAAAAACAAAAACCTCCCATTAGCTCAGAAGGTTTTTGTTTGTTTGCCTGCCTCAGTTGTTTGATCTGATACAACATGATGATCAAATTGGTCTTACGATGTAGCTTAGTGTTCAGTATCCCTAGTAATCAGGGAAGTACAACCTGAAACTGTATTGAGAGACTGTCTCATCCTAGTGACTGACTACTGAGAAATCTGATAACACATTTTGGCGTGGATATCAGGAAGATGAACTCTTACTCACCCCTGGGAGTGTAATTAATATATAGCCTTTATAGTAGGTAGTCAGTTTGGTGATTCCTCAGTGTTACTCCTGGGCATTTACCTAAAGATATTCTATCAGAGATATTTGCACATCCATGTTGATTGCTGCTCTATTCACAATAGCAAGAAAATGGAAACAGCCTAAATTTCCTTCTACTGATGATTGGATAATGAAAATACAGTACATACATACAATGGAATAGTCTGCTGTAAATAAAAATGAGATCATGAAATCTGCAGGTAGGTGGATGAACCTGGAAAGCTTAATAAATGAGGCGACTCCGACAGATCAAACCATATGTTCCTCCTCGTATGCAGGCCTAGCAGACAATGTGTCCATGTATGTGTGTATAAAAGGTGCAAGTGTGGAATAAATCCAAATGTTAAGAAGGGATACTGTTGGGTGATAGGCAAACAGAGGAGAGAGGACATCAAACTATTTTTCTCCAGTTTCAACTCTGTCATAGATGTGTGTGTGTATATATATAGGTGGAGATGTGTATTCAGCCATCTGTGTATTGAAATAACAGTAATCATATGTCAAAAAGAATCTATCTAATACGTGTTATTTTTTTGAGGCAGCAATTGTGAACATTGTTTTCTTTTAGTCCCATTGATTAACACCACAGGACATGACTAGTTCAGTGTACTCATTGACCCACTTAGAAAAAAATGATTAACTTTTTTTTTTATGTTCTGGAGGGAGGGATGGATACTGTAACTGGAAAAATTTCAGTTTTTTCTTTTGTTTAAAACTATCAAACCATTCTATTACAGTGGCATTTAA